CTAAACAACACAAATGAATGAATCATGAAAGTTAAGATTTAATATCAAATCTACGTAGCACTATATGTGTAAATTCTTTCCATATTGATATATTCCACTTTAATGAAAGTATTTAGAGTCACGAAGAAGAATCTACTCTAACTCATTCTAATCAATTAAAATGAATTAAAAAGCGAATTCAACCTTATAAATCTAAATAAACTTGTTCTATCGTTTCTAATTTATCACTTATTTCAATTTCGTATACATTACAATCTGATTCATGACAACTATCGAATATATATATAGACAACGAGGTAGTATTTGATTATATTCAACTTATCAGATAAGGCTTCGTATACCATGTATTCATCAAATAATTTTCTTCTTGAGAGTATGGATCTGTTTGTAGACAATATTCTTTACTCAACATCTCATATCCATACTCCAGTTTTTCATCATCAGAACAGCGTCCACGTTGTTGGTTCATTTCCGATTGATAATCACGCTGAGTGGAACAAAACCTAGTAATTTATCGTCAGAGAACACTTGACTTGATCTCTCTCTTTCCAGAAAGGACTACGGAATCATGCCCATCATGATGAACTAGACTATTTCATGATTGCAGCTTAGTAGACGATGACTCTTTTCTTCGATGTTGGCATACTGAGTGACATATCTTTTCAGTGTCTACAATGATAAGTTTTCCATCATCTGAGCTCAGTAGATATCGCTTTTATTTTTGACTACCAGACTCGATGCTCACCACAGACACATCAAGAGTAAAGTTAGTTCGATTGATTCTTTCTAATTAGTCATAAAAGTGTATAGAGAGCCATTTTTAATGATGTATTTATATAAGAAGACTCATATCGTTACAATCACTCATCTAAAGTCTCATAGTTCAACGTTTTTCTTAATATTATTATTCAACTCAGAAGTTTTATATGTCCAAATAGTTTCATTTAAATGTCGAATTCCTAAGTTCTTCAGTTTCATATACATTGGTATTTTAAAATCTAAAGATGAAACTATTGCTTGTGTTTGTTGATCTTCACTACCAGCTGTCCAATAGGGTATATGATGCAAATAATAACCAAAGATGGATTCACAAAAACTAAAATACATTGGTGTATTTAATATATGTGCATGCCATGCTTTGTCAACCATTTCTGATGGTTCACCAATTAGGCCATTTTTTACACCAGTATAATAGTTTTCTAATTCAATAATTGTATTTAATGCATCAGTATCACTCATACGTTCTGTAGTTTGTAATCGTTCATATAAATACAGAGCATCTTTGTCTGGTATCGTGATAGTCTTACAACATTGTATCGAAGGAGGCAATAAAACCAACAGAAAACATATTCCTACGACGAAAGTAAGAAGAGAAGATAATATATGAAAATACAAAATATTCTGACTGCCATTGTAGGATTAGAAAGCAATGCTCTCATATAAGATTGAAACACTCTGTTCATGTTCATTTTTGAGAATAGTGAAATAAATGTTTTCTTCCGAAATAAACAATGCCCAACAGTGCATCTGATAATGAACTAAATGAAAGAAGGCTCTAGTTTTAATGAGTATACCTTGTAAAACATGACAATCTTTCTTTTTCTATGCTCAAATTGAAAACTTTTAAACTTATACATCTTCACAGTTTACACAGATTTCAGTTCTCTATGAGTTAGTTGTTCGACAATTGTAGAAATAATGAAAATGATTCAAGGAACATAAAACTTTTCAATTATTTGTTGACTATCTATCATTTGAAGCATGTATGTAGCTAGTCTTTTTAATGAAATGAGAATTTCATACCTATGAAACTTAGTTTCATATGAACTAAACGAAGTAGATTTGCACAGAATACAAACATCTAAAATACAAAAAAGTTTTTTTATTGCTTTATTCAACTCAGAAAATACCACATACATTCTATATTTAGGACGTTTGAAAGTTCGATAAGTCGAAGGAGAACAAAATAAATATACAATCAGAACAATTTTTTCTCATACGAAACTAATCAGCATCGAATAGTCTCTCTTCCGTTGTAAGCAATAAAATTTATATATAGTCATATATTTGAATTTAATGAATGCAAATATAACAGAAGCAATACTGCGGATATTTGAGTATTGCGAAGTACAAATGATCAACTAATCAAAATAGAAAGAGAAAGGAAGAGAAGAAAGCTTATCAAATTCGCAAGAAAGTTGGATATTTATGACTCTATTTCCATATATTCAATATTGAATCATGATTTTTTTTCTACGCAATTCATTTATATAAATTAGAGCTTATATATATTCCAGAAAAAATAAACATTCTTAAAACATAACTTCACTCTTTTCTTTCAGCACTACAAATTCCAATGACTACAATTGTCCGATACTTAGTATTAATATTACTTATTTCAGCAGTGATAATTGCTGATGTCGCCGGAGAAACTCGTCATCAAGCATTGAAACGTATGATCCATAGTGTCAAGGGTGCAAAACATAACGTTGCAAAACGGGATATATATCAATGTGTATATCATCCACCTCCGCCACCACCACCTCCGCCACCTATTTGGGTGTGAATGCTGACTTTCAAAGACATGCAATAAATATTCAGCGTTAAAGAAAAATACAATTATAATAAAACTGACATTTTAACTTTCTGTTAACCTTTTACTTTTTAAATATCAAATGTATTATTTAATCGAAAAATCAGCTTTGAAAATATTGAAAATACTAAAAAATACCTTCTCTATTATTAACATCTCTATTTTTCGTGTACCAATAAAAATTCTTTATTCCTAGATAAATATCCCACATAAATTTGAGCCAGAGGAAAAATCCAACTGCAGACCGACATAGGTTTTTTTAAAACTGTGTAGAAAAGCACGAATTTTTACGAAACATAGACCGTTTTCATGTTTACTATATTACTTCTCACTCTCCCACCAATAATAGTTTCTTTAGCATTCAGTACGCGAATTCTATTAAAAACCTTTTACTCTTTGATTTTATTCTATATAATACCATCAGCGACAGAACACCAGGCAACTTCGTGCTCCTCTGCTTTTGATACTATCACACATGCTGATTTCTACAACATTAACAAAAAAAAATTCGATTTGTCAAGTCATATATCTGAGAACGCTGTTATCACTATTCTCTTGAGTGAAATATCTATTACCGATTTTGAACTAAAATTGTTCCCACAAAAATTTACTAAATATTTATTACCGTTGGCATAAAAAGAAGTTTTGTACTATGTCTCTTTGGTGTGGAATGTAGAATGAGGGCAATCGCACGCAGTTGCTATTTCGGATGTACTGCTGACTGTAGATGGTTAGCGGTGTATAAATGTAGATAGCTATCATTAATAGTGAATTACCATTACCAGGAAATCTAATGGTCATTTTGTAATCCTTGTGCGTACGCTTGTGGGATAACGGTATAGATATTCTCGATACTTCATATCCAGCCATTCATCTACGCAAACCCTCAAATCTCTTCAGGGAAAACAATTCATAGAAACAAAGGTGAGTACAAAGAAATGCCACACCACTTAACATAGCAAGCCGTACTCTCATCCACATCAACAGTTGCATCTCTCAACTTTGAATACAGTCTCATCCATGCATACCTACATTAACTCTCAGACACTTTTTAATCACAGACCCGCAAGTGATCACCGATCGATTCTAGTAATGCAAGTACTCAGCCATCAACAGACAAATAAGATAGTTTTCTTTTGGTATATATTTGCCTGATAAACTCATCTAGAAATGAAGAATCTATATTGATACATCAAAGATAGAGATGCTAATAAAAGAAAAAAACAGCATTTTTATTTATTCTGGACTTTCAAAGCTGGTTTTTTTTGATAAAATAATACATTTGATGTTTAAAAAGCAGCGAAGACCAAAAGAAAGCGAAAAAGTCAATAGCATGTACGATTATATTTCTTCAACGCTGAAGATATATTGTCTCTTTTTAAAAATCATTCCTTCACACCCAAATAGGTTCAGGGGCAGGTTTTGGAGGAGGATAATACACACATTGATATATATCCCGTTTTGCAACGTTATGTTTTGCATCTTTGACACTATAAATCATACGTTTCAATACTTCATGACGAGTTTCTCCGACGACATCAGTAATAATCACTGATGAAATCAGTAATATTAATACTAAATATTGCATAATTGTAGCCATTGAGATTTGTTTTGCTGTAAGAAAAAAATTGGAATTATATTTTGAAAATGTGAATTGCTCTGGAATATATATAAGCTCCAATTTACATAAATGATTTGCGTAGAAAAAAACTCATGATTCAATATTGGATATATGTGAAGAGAGTCATAAATGTTTAACTTTCTCTCAAAGTCGATAGGTGTTCTTGTCTTTTTTTCTCCTTATATTTTGATTAGTTGATCATTTGTACTTCGCAATACTTAAATATTCACAGTTTTGCTTCTGTTATATTTGCATTCATTAAATTCACATATATGACTATATATAAATTTGATTGCATAAAACGAAAGAAAGAATAATTTTATACAGATTAATTTTGTGTGAGAAAAAAATTTTCTTGATTTTATATTTATTCTGTTCTTCTCTAACTGATCGAACTTTCTAAATATAACTAGTATGTGATATTTTCTGAGTTGAATAAATCAATAAAAAAAACTTCTTTTGTTTTTTGTATTTTAGATGTTTATGTTTTTTTCAAATAGACTTCGCTTAGTCTGTATGAAACTATCATTTCATTAAAAAGACTAGCTACATACATGCTTCAAATGATAGGTAGTCAACAAATAATTGAAAAGTTTTATGTTTCTTGAATCGTTTTCATTATTTCTACGATTGTCGAACAACTAACTCGTAGATATCTGAAATTTGTATAAACTGTGAAAATGTATAAGTTTAAAAGCTTTCAATACGGGTATAGAAAAAGAAAGATTGTCATGTTTTACAAGGTATACTCATTAAAACTAGAGCCTTCTTTCATTTAGTTCATTATCAGATGCACTGTTGGGCATTGTTTATTTCGGAAGAAAACATTTATTTCACTATTCTCAAAAATGAACATGAACAGAGTGTTTCAATCTTATATGAGAGTATTATTTTCTCGTCTGATTTTCGTTGTAGAAATACGGTATACGAACGATTACAAACTATAGAGCCTATGAGTGAGAGTCATGTATTAAGTAGAGTGTAGCCCAAAAGTAAGGTAAAACATAATTGTTTGATTTCTTCTTTGGTATCGGCAGTTGGATCTCATGCTTATACCACATATACTGTGTTATACTTGCCAGAAGAGTAATGTACGATTAGTTTTTGAGTGCTGTAATTCATTATTATCTTAAAAATAAACCAGTTCTATTCAATTTTTAGTTTTTTCTGTTTACTACCAGTTGTTATATGAAACCAGTTTAATTAAAGTTTGTATTCAGTTTAATAAACAGAGGCTAACAGTAATTAGATCCCATTCGTTTAACAATTGGCGATAAACATATAAAACTGAAAATTGAATGGAACTCGAATAATATTGAATTTATTTTATAATCTCATACAATTATTCTGATTTATTTGTAAGATTTTAAATAATTTACTGTATCTGAAGATCGATCCTACGCGCTACCTTTGACTACTATCAAGCTGTAACTGAGGTGTAAAAATGAAATCCAACATACATATTCAAAGAAGAAATCAAACAATTATGTATTATCTTACTTTTGGGCTAATCTGTACAATGATATCAAATCAATTGCTAATAAGATAATTTCATATTATGTTTTAAAGAATATAAACTTTCAATTTGAGAGACAAAGTATCATGCAAGTAGCAACTGGTTTTCTTTTCAATTGTATGCTTTTAATTTTCGGAGTTTCGTCAACAAATTATAATCAAGTAAAACTTCCGAAAAATGATTTCCAATATATTATTAATAATTTACAAATTAAATATAAGTTGAATTATGAAGATGCGAAAAGGTGTGTTACAGAATTAGAACATTTTTATACTGGTATTAAATATAAAATTATTGATAATGTGTTAGATCATCCATCAACAGCAATTAAAAATGCATGGGAATCACATATTATTTATACATCAATGTATTTTAATTTTACTCATTCAACATTTGGTACATATGTTCATTATCAACCGATAGAACACGATAAAGGACAATTAAATATATACAACAAACTCAAAACATTTGGAATAAATAATATGAATGAAACAGTTTGGCTATTGAAAACCTTACAACAACAAGAACATTATTCATCATTGGCAACGTGGAATACTTATTACATGGAATCAAACACTTCTTTATCAAATTTTAATCAAAAGGAAAATAGATTTCTGAAAAATTTTATAGACGAATATAAACCATCATTTCATGACTTTCAAATATTAGATATTGCTATGGGACAAGGACGAAATTCAATTTGGCTTGCACAAAAAGGTTACAATGTAACAGGATTTGATTCATCTATTGAAGGTGTACAAATAGCTAAAAAACAGGCAAAACATTTCAATCTGACTACATTACAAGCATATGTAACAACAATCGAAGAGTTTCATTTTGACGTTGAACAATGGGATTTAATTATATGTATGTATTTTCCAATAATAAATCAAACTAATTACTTAAGAAGAATAGAGCAATCATTAAAATATAAAGGTTTATTAATAGTTGAAGTTTTTCATTGGAATAGTTTAAATGGTGACTATATAATTCCACTAGATATTACCTATAGAACAAATTCTATACCATTATTATTTCCAAATTTAACAACTCTTATATACGAAGAACCAACTGATTATAGTGACTTTGGAAATAAGCTAACAAAAATTATTCGATATGTTGGACAAAAGCAGTATTCACATACTTGATCATAATCAAAGAGATTGAATCTCTCTAACTACATAATTTTGTTGTCATTTTTTAATTTATGATTAATTATGAATAAATAGCAACATGTTTTTATGATGCTAAACTTTTAAGTTGAATGATAAGCCTAAATCTTAATTTATTCATTTACAAAATTCGATAAATATCATTCAGGTTCGCGCGAATAATTTTTAAATAAAATGTCGATGTCGAAAATAGGATAAGTGCTAAAAAAAATTGTATATCGAGACTGTCATCCAACTCCGCATTCTAAAAAATTCCTAACAAAATTCTTATTGAAACTTGACAGAAGTTTTTGGTTTTTGACTAATTGTCTATTATACTTGTTCAAATCTTTCACTAATTTAATTAAAAATTTCTCAGAAACTTCGTATCGAAATCTAGGAAAGATCTTAACAAAATTTAGATCAAATCTTTTCTATTATTTCCATCAAAATTGATAGTGACTCCCTGTAGGATTCTGAATCATCAATTCAAAAAAAGTCTGAGCAAGAAATTGAAGAATCTCGAGAAATGATCAGGATTGAGTATAGTAAACAATAGCTTTTCGCAATCCTAATTGAAGCTTGATAGGATTAATCACTTTAGAATTTTAATTAATCGTGTTATTTTCTTGGTTTTAGATCCTTGTTCGATGTAGCTATTGACTCTGACAGAATCCTAATAAGAAGATTTGATTTAGATATTTGAGAAGAAATTTGCTACTATTTTGACAAAACTCTGTCAAAGTTCTACGCATGACTGAGAATGAGTTCTTGTAAAACTCTACATTCTCCATGGCAAAGAATATCTGAGCAAAAACTGCTAAGATGGGAGATAGGATTGTGAATAAAAATTGACAAGATTCTTAAGAACAACAAAGAGCTAAATTATTTATAATTCTTAATATTAATTTTCATTCAAGTTCTATAACTTATTGACATACACAACATCTTTCGCTTCATCTATTCGTTCATCGATTTTTTTTGCCGTTAGATTTCTTCTATAGATGATACAATCAAAAAGCAATAGGCAGAAATATGTGAACTAATTCTTGCTTACAACAACAATTCAAAAGATTAGAGATTGCTCAAAGACAAGATATGAAATATATAGTTCATTGTATCAACCTTACCTTTCTAACTTGATGGTTTATTTAGAATCTAATGAGCAATCAAATCTGCTGATTTCAATAGTTTTGAATATAGAACTAAAAAGTTCACGTGCGATAAGGTAAAATTTCGAACGGTTTGAGTAAGATAGAAAGATGTCTTTAAATCAAAAGGAAAATGAAGTATGACTTTGGACAATATCAGTTGTTTATGTTCTCAGGATTGAAATACAGAAGAAAGAAAGCATATTTTCTGCAACAAATGTTTTATTTTTGTCTTTGATTGTATAACTCGTTATTTTTGACAATGGATGAAACTATGAGTCTGATAAATATCCTATTTTTCATGTTAGCAATGACACCATCTACCAGAGATGGAACCGGTACCGGTAACCGGCCGGTGCGGTCCGATCCGGTACCGGTCTGGACTTTGGATCGACCGGTCGACCGGTTTAAACCGGTCTGACCGGTTCAAACCGGTCTAAACCGGCTGTTTTGATGTTGAACACATTTTACTAGATTTCAATCTCTTGATATAATTCAATAATCAATTTATGATTAACATCAGATATCTAAATTCATGCAATGAAATGTCTATTGGAATTGACATTTTAAAATACTTTATTGCTATTTGAAAATTATTACCATAAAGTATACATTTGAGATAGTATTAGATGTCCTATAAATAAAATGTATATCAACGTCGATTGTAGTTCAAGTTTTACTCTTATTGAATATGTACTCTTTTCGAATAAGACAACCTATATCTACATTATAAATACGATCAAAGTAGCTGACTTCATCTGATTATAAACGAACTCACATGCTATCGTATTTACATATTCTTTTCAATAAAAGGATGGACCTTAAACACGAAGTTTTATCTGATTATATGATTACTTATTTTTTCATTATGCTGAATTCAAAATAAAAAACAAAATCTTCTGCGTTTAATAAATGCCAATTGAATGCAATCATGCATTACACTGATGTACGAAGATCATTTTGTTTTGACGTACTATTCATTTTCTGATTGCCATTTTGTAGTTTTAGCAGAGAAATCTTTCATCTATTGTATACATTTATATCTTATTAACTTTGATAATAACAAAAAAAAAACATAAAATTTTTTTATTCATATATGACAATCACATTTTGATAGATTTACAATGTATTGAAATGCGAATAGGCTTTTTTGTTTGGGTTTTTTTTTCATAATTTTTATTCCGAGAAGAAAACATAAACAGCTCTCTTTCTCTAATGATCATCACTCTTTCTACACAAAATCATATAGTGATTCCGATATAAAATAAAATAAATTGTATTAATTTATTTCATCATATAAATAATTCATAATGAAAAACTTTCTCTTCTACACTTGTCTATACTTTTTTAAATCATTATTATTTGTAGAGATAGCTTATTTTTGGGGTGGATCTATTTCATGACAAACTGTTTCGTCAAACTTGACTAATAGTACTACAATAACTATTAAATTAAAACAAACATATTCATGGGCAAATTATCTTTGGCCATGTTTATCAGTATCTGGTTTTCTTATCGACACACTCGATTGTCTAGCAGGTTGTGACTCTATTACAACAAGTATTTATGTAAAAGGTACTTGTATTAATTATGATTTTGGCTTAAATGTAACTATCTCTCAAAGTATACAATCAATAACATATCCATTAGGTGCATAACGTGTACTAGTCTATCAAAATAGTGCATGGTTAGCACTTGTTTTTGGGCTACAGTCATGGAGTTTAGCAACATATATTAATTTAGCAGTACGTAGTGATAATGGACAAATTAATTCATCATCAATCACAAGCATGTCTCCACTAATCACTCTACCTGTTAATACACAACAAATACTTCGTATTCCAATGACAGATATTGATAATGATATTATTAAATGTCGATGGGCAAATAGTACATCTATAGTAGCTTCTATAACTATCGATGAATGTGGTGGTATTTGTCAAAAAATACCTAGTGCTTAACTCTATTCATCATCAAATATTGATAATAATTGTACACTTATATTTAACATAAGTATCACCGGTTATTATGTTATAGCTATATAAATAGAAGATTTTATGCTATCTGATCCTAATGATACATCATTAAGTTCTATTCCATTACAATTTCTTGTACATAGTATACAACTTTCATGTAATTTACCAATTATTGTTGGTGATCTAATCAATAGTGCTACCCTATATGTACAAGCTAATGTTACATTTTCTACAGCAATTATTGCACAAACAGGTTAATCGATTTTTAACAATAAGTCTACCATCAGGTATGGCAAGTACATCATCGATAGTTCAATGTAGTTCAATATTGTATTCAATAACATTTACATTTATACCTTTTTTTTGATCAAATTAGTACAACATAATTGTCTTTTATAATAGCAATTGATAGTAATAGTTTATAAACTATTCAATATTGTTTAAATTTTGTTGCTATTGCTCCAATATCGATAAGTACTACGTCAATTTCAACAAGTCCATTCGACGAATATTTCATCAAATTCATCTTTAACAATTACAGATTTGTTAAAAGTAAATTTATTTCAGATTGACTGAAACGTCTGGAAATTATACTTTTTAGTTCTTACAAAAACAATTAATAATGAATCAATGAATTTTTATCTATTACTTGGATTTATTTTGGGCCTTGATCTTCCATTATATCTTCTTTTAAGTTTATTGAGTTGTTGTTGCTGTTGTCCTCAATGGTGTGCTCAATCATTTTGGTATGTTAATGATATTATTTTCCTCGTACAAATAAATATTAAAATTATTTTCAGGGATAAAGTTCGACGAAGAAATTCTTTGTCATATATGTCGAAGTCGACATACTTATGAAATATCAAGTGAAAAACAAACAATAAACAAAGGTGTACAACATATCTTATCGATCAACACGACCATTACATAGATCTTTGAGCACAAGTTCATTTTTACCATTTAAATCAAATTCTCTGACAACTACAAGAACAACATTTCTATCTCGTATTTCTAGTACTGTAACATCGACGGATTATGCTTCAAGTATTCTATCGTTATCGAAACGAATATTGCCAAATGAATCAAATAGTTCTCATCTGTTTCAAACTTATTGTCAATAAAATAACAGTCAATGACTATGAATTGGAATAAATTTATGCTATTATAACTAATGACACTTTTGATATTTGTAAATCTTTAGTGTTTATCAATAAAATTTTTCTCATTTTGAGAACAAATTCATTTATGTTTGTTCTATGAAGAAATTAAAACTGTATTTCAATCTATATAATAAGACTTTTCCATTTCGTTTCGGAACTCGACCTTAATGTCGATACGTTAAAATCACATAAAATTTTCAGAATATGTTGACGTTTTTAGAAAATACAAATCCAACAAAGAGTCCAACATAGCTCATCTACGATTTCAATCTTCTTGTTATTTAAACTAATTACAATAATAATTTCAAGTTGTACCTATTGAAAAAATAAAAGTAAAAGCTTTTAGGATCGTTTTAATATCAGAAAAGATTTTAAATATCAAAAGAGTTCAAAACTTTCTAAGAACACAAATTAATCTGAATCACATTTTTATTTTTAACTTCTTTTTTCAATTATTATTCTATTTAATTTTATGCCATGCTTGCATTTACATTGTACATTCGTACAAAATTCTTTATCCAAGTACTATTGCATTCCATTTTTTTTCTTATCTTATTATTGGCGCTATTAGAATTTTCTACGTTTTATGCTTGAATTATTCTAAGGAAAATAAATTATCATTATTTATTTCTATTTCATATTGAAAACAAAAACCAGACAAAAATTCATTGATCAATTTACCTCTGACATTCTTTCTTGATTATTGAATTGATTTGATTATTTATTCTATTGTAAATATACATTCTGAAAAAGTAGATATACTTTTGCTACATGAAAAAATCTCTAGAAAAAGATAAAAAATAACCATAAAAATGATGATGAACTTGCAAAAATTTATCAGGATTCATGTAAATGAAGTAATTGTTTATGTCAAACAAAAATGAACATCTTAAAGGTGAAATAATGCCCAAATCTTTGCATTTTCAATTGAAAAACTCAGAAAATTATTGAAAACATGAGAAGCAAGAAATTCAGTAATCGAATTTTTCTATTTTCGAATGAAATTAACCACTAAATTTTTTCTTTCAAGTTCTTACCATTTACTCGAGTTTTTCTGTCGGAAACGCTTTATATTTCTCGACCTCGATATCTTTCAAGAAATGATTGTCTAGAAAAAAAAGAAACCTGCTTATTGAAACAAAGGAATCAGTATTAATTGGCCGAAAAGAAAAAGATCGAAAGTCTAAAATGTAAAAACAATTCAAGTACTTGTTAGAAACATGGTTTATTAATCATAAGTTTGTTGAAAAAGGATAAAAATATGGAAATAAAGAGGATAAATATACAGCATCGGCTATGATGCAACATTTTACCGTTGTAACTAGAGTGTAAAATTAGCAGAAGAGAAAAGTGACAAGTAGCATGATCATAAGGAAAAAAATCCAGCACTGTTTCGAATATTCCTTCTTCGCTTTCATATCCTTTTGATAAGTAACAGTAAACTTTAAAGATTTTCTTACGAATCAACTTCCGCATTTTGAGATCTTGACGATTAGAATATGGATGTCGGTGTCCAGTGTAATTACTGGATGTGAGTGAACTAACGGCTCACATCCAGGCCTACTATCATCAAGATCGACACTCACACTCGAAAATACGTTCAAACCAACACCGACACTTGAAGAAATGTGACTTATAAGTCAGTGGAGCTCGGCTGGGATCGTTGTAATGAAAGACAGTTTTCAGCAGAAATCTAATCTTATTGATTGTTTTATGAATTTCCGAGATTTTTCTCATTCGATCTTTTTTTCCTTCCGGTTAATTAACACTCCCTCAAACAAAGTGTATATCACTGCAAGTACATGAAAATCTTGACTTTTTTCCCTATAAGAAAAGGTTAAAGAGTCAACCTTTCTCTTTTTAGGTAATTGTGCATAAAGCATTTTCATGTATTTATATCGAAGAAGTATTGATCATCCAATTTCCTTGATTGAAACCCATTAGATTATGAAACTATGAATTGAGACCATATAACAATAAAACTAATATTGATAGACCAAATAAATCGTTCATATTAGAAAAAATATAAAAGAGAAGAAAAAAAAAAACTTTATATCCTGTACATTATTGACTTGTACGATTACATTTGATTTCAAGAATAAATAAGACTTTTTTTCATGTACTTGACATGTACAGATTTCGCGATGTGTTCATATCATTTGACTTTCTTTCAATTGACAATTACTTAAATGCTTACATAATTTATGTGCACATTCGAAGCAAATCCTACATTGAATATCATATGAATGAGTACACTCGAAATAATCAACCAGAATAGAATAAAAAAAAAAAACTTTTCTTTTCAAAATGAAAAGATGTTTTTACTATATTAAAATTGGTTTTACGCCTCATAGGTATCGTTTTGCATAATTCTGACAAATGACTAAATTCGATAGAGTATTCCTATTACTGGTTTGCTATGAGGATATAGACTTTTATTGTTAATCTACATTGTTTTCAATAAAGTATTTCATTTGTAATAAGTTGAAGTATTCAAATTTGCGAAAAGCTCTCAAGATAAGAAATTTCACGAGATTAATTATTCATGAACTACTCATTTAATTTTAATTGTCGCACCTTTTTTTTTAATTTAAATAGATTAATAAGCAATAAAATATTTATCAGTATTTAACAATAATAAATATGAAATATTTTTAATATTAGAAATTAAAAAAAAAAAAAAACAAACACCAGATTTAATTCTTATTCAAGATTATACGAAACATTAAAAAAAAATTTTTTTTGATTTTTTGTTCTTATAATTATGCACAAAGCAAAAGATTCTCTTTTTATATAATAATAAAAAATTAAAATATATTGAATAAAGCAAGAAAAGTTTTTTTTGTTTTCACAAAAAAAAAAAGAAAGCAATCATAAGCATAGAATAATAGAGAAAGAAAAACCACAAAATATTTAACCTACATAGGTGAGATTTCAAATAGCAAAAAAAAAACATCAAGATAATTGTTTATTTGATTTAACCCATAGTACCTGGTTTTTGAATTTGCGTTTGTTGTTGCATATTTGAACCAGAAATATTTGAAAAATTATTTTCTTGTGGATATTGTTGTGCTGTACGACTCTTAAAAAATTTTGTTTCTTTATAAACAAACCACATACTACCAAGCCAAAGTAAAAAATTTAAAAATCCAAATATAACTGATACTGTTATATTAGTATAAGTACCAGCTAAAAATAAAAATAACATAAAAAAATAAAAATAAAATGAATATATAACTTACATTCATATTCCTCACATACTGGTTGATTATTATCACAATCTGTTATAAGTTCTTTTACATAATCAAAAGAAGTTTGTGTTCGTATATTTGATACACCACCTGCCCATGCTGAACTACCAGCAATCCAAAAAATAGTCCATATTAATATAAGAATAAAATCAATTATAGGAATATTTTCATTAAAACGATATAAACGATCGGTTACAATATATAGTGTTAAAAATGCAAGTGATATTAACATTGATGTAACACCCGTAAAAACAAAAAATTCAGCTGATGGTTTAATATTATTTGAACTTGATAATGTTGGTTGACTTGTATTAAGACCTGTATTAATTGTAGCAGCTTGTAAATTATAAGGATATGACCATGAAACATTGGCTGCTCCTGTATTTGAACCTTTTCGAATAATAAGATAAGAACTACCATTACATGCTGTAGCAAAAGCAAATATAGCAAATATAAATTGAAGCAGTCGAATAAGACCGCGAGGTTCTAAAATTGAAAGAGAAAAAAAAATAATGAATTTATTATTAATTTTTAACTTATTTGAATAGAAATACTTGAAGATTTTTTAATTATTTTGAAAAAGAATTCTTTTTTTTTTTTTTTTTCAAATTTAAATCATATTAAGAAAATTTGAATGTTATGATATAAATTTAACTTACCTTTGAGTATTCCGAAATAAAATGCCATTCTATTTACAAAAATTTTTGATTGTAAAAAATCTATTTAAAAAACAAAAACAAAAAAACATTATTAATTAATTCAACAAGGACAAAAAAAAAATTCATGTTTTTATGCGTCATTTATATAGAGAAGTTATTTTTATAACATTTCTTCCTTGTTGTTTTGCATCAACATACACGTAAATCGTTAGATCACAAATAACATTTATTAACATAAAAAACATATATCTATTAACGTCTCATGCAAACTTTTCTTCTATAGTATCTACCTTCATATTAGTTGTATGTTGACGACAATGGTATTCTGTTCGATGTTTGAATGAAAAATACTGATTATTCTGTTTGCTTCTTTTCTCGTCTCTTTTTTTTTCTTACTCTATGACTCAATAATGCAGGTGTGTAAGTAAAGAAAGTAAAAAGTCTCTCTCTCTCTTCATCAAATATTTGTTGATAGCATCGATAAAAATAAACGCAACCATAACGAACAAGTGTTAGAAGAAGAAGAAGAAGAAAAAAAAAAGTCTCAAAAAAAGAAATAAAACAGTAATGGTGTCATTGCTACATCGTAAACCTTTCATTTCAATTGAAGAAAAAAGAAAGAATAAAACATTGGTAGATGAACAGAAAGCAAAAGAAAAAAAAGGGTTTTATGTTCTTTTTTTTTTTCTTCTTCTTTATATGACAAAAGTAAATTATAATTTTATAATAATGATGAAAAAGAAAAAAAAAAGACTTTCTTGAATGAAAAAATAAATCATACGAAAGAAATGTATCTTATGATTGGTCAATGAGAATTGATTATTTTTAATAGATGACATTGTTTGTTGTTTGTTTTTTTTT